ATTATTATCTTTTTTTAAGTAAATATTGTTATGATGAAAATAAAGTAAATCAAATGAAGTTTATATCACAATTTAATAATTGTTATATACTTTCCATTGTTTCATACTATTTTATTTATTTCTCTATTATCTTAATTATTTCGATTATTTCCTTTATTTTACCTTTCTTTTTATTTATTTATTTTCTTGTTATATATTCTTCATTTTTTTCTATGACAATAGTTATATTTGTTTAATTTTATTTATTAATAACTTTATTCTTATTTGTTTAATCCTATCTATTATTTTATCATTCATATTTTGTTATATTATCATATTCTTTGTTTTCATTTTAAATAAAATTTCAAATACTTTTTAATTTTGTAATATTTGTTGTTTCTATTTTTCTCTTTATATTTCTCATAATACTTTCATATCAAATATTTATTAATTATATATCCATTTCTCTTCATTAGTGTCATAGATTTTTAGTTTTGTATCAATAATAATGAAACAATAAGAAAGATAAAAGAATAATAAATAATATAAAAGATATAAAAGGAATGTGAAATAGCTAATGAAGTAGTGACGAAAATATTGAAGATATAGAAAAACAAATGTATCTGATGAACAATATTTAAGAGAATAAAATAAATTCAAAAAAGAACAAAAATAAATAGAAAAAACAATAAACTGAAATTAAATTTATTTATTTTTAATTTCTCAACTAATAATTCAAAAATAATGATAAAATAAAACATAATAATTTTAATTTCATAACAATAAAACTATTCTATTTTTAATTCAAAATGTAAAAATAAGAAATAAGAAATAATTAATAGTTTATGAACAAATAAAACAAAAGTAAAATTAATAGTTTTAATTAAAGATATAACTTAAAAATAATAACACAATGGAAAACCAAGAAAAGAGTAAAACAGTAACACAAACAATTTCAGAACTTATTCGGTTAGAAAAATTTAAGACAATGATAGAAAAGATAATGGAAGAACATGAATTAAGAATTTGTGATTTAGAGACCAACTTAGAAATGGTATTAACAAAAAACAAAATGGTACAAGAGATTTCTAAAGTTATTCATGGTAGTGAAAAAGATATTTATGAAGAACTAAGAAGAATAAAAGAAGAAAACGAAAGAACAAGCAAAGAACTTAAAGAGCATGAAATTGAAATAGACAACAATGCATTAGATATAGAAGTACAAGGGTATTTAATAGAGAAAATTATGAAAAAAATGGACAATAACACAACTAATGAAGAAATTGTAAAAGAATTGATACAAGAAGAATTTAAAAAGAAATATCTTCAGAAGAGAAAAGATGAAATAGAAAAGAGTAAGAACGAAAACATCAATAAAACAAAAGACACTCCAACAAAACAAACAAGCAATACCATAATAAACAATCTAATGAATAACACAACTGTTTCTCCAGATGAATTATTCAATCATAGGACTCAAATCAAACAACTAGAAGAATGGACAAATAGAAAAGTATCCAATAAAATATTTGATTCAGAGATTGATGATTGGAATAAGAATACATCAGTATTTAATCAAAGAATAATAAATAAAGAACATATAATAATTGTTATTGAAGATTCAGATGGAAATAAATTTGGAGGATATATTAATTCTAAAATTGATAAAGTTGATAATTATATAAATGATCCAAAATCATTTTTATTTTCAATAAAATCAAAAGGAAGAATACAAGGAATGATGAAATTTGATATTAAAGATTCACAATATGCATTTTATGTAGGTAAACAATCACATGATTATTTGTTTGAATTTGGAGTTGGTGACATTCGTGTTTATAAAGAAAATAATAAAACAGATTCATTTTGTAGTCAATTTTCATTTGAATATAAAGGAATATCAAATGTACTTTGTGGAAAACAACTTCCAGAACATTTCACACCAAAAAGAATCATTATAATTGAAATGAAATGATTTTTATTTATTATTATTTATTTGAAATATAAAAACTAAAAAATAAAAAGTAGATAATTAAGTATTAATAGAAATATCTTCTATTGTTCCTTGCTCAGCGGAGATTAATTAATCCATTTGCTTTAAATGTATTTGTTCTTCAACTATTGCCTTATTATTTGATTTTAGTTGTTGATTATGACAATTTCATTTTATCATTTATTTGATATGGAATAGAGTATTTTAAACATCAATTATTTAAATATTCATTATTTATTTTCTTTTTAATTTGATGGGTTTAAATTTCTTCTTCTTTATTTTCTTATTTTAAAGAGAATATATAATTACTACTGTATTGCTTTGGGTTAATATTCTTTTAGCCTCATCCACTTGACCCTTTTCCTTTGATAATCCTATATTATCAAATGTACTTGTATTCTAACAAGTAATAATAACATCTTTATAAATACCCATTCGTTTATTGTCAATGATATTCTGTCATTGTACATAATAAACACTGCTATTCTTGCAGTACTGGGTAAGATGTTTTTCTAACTAAATACAACATTATAACCAGTCCATAACTAGTTGATTTGAATGATGGAAATATTTTAGTGTTGTGTGTGGTGTCTCTGACGTGCTTCCTTCGAATCTATAAAAAAAATGATAAATAAATAAAAATGAACTAATTATAGATAAATAACATAATATAAATATATTATT